CAGGAGCCCCAGGCGTTGGCAGCTTCGCGGGCGGTGGCCGGGTTTCTGCTGTGAGGCGGGTGAGGCCTTGCGGATGCCGCCCATGGAAACTGGAGAGGTGGAACACACAAAAACAACACACAAAAACATGCTCCATCAGGCCGAGCATGGCTGTAGGGTCACTTTTCTTCATGAGCAACCGCCTAACTGGCAGAGACGTCAGAAGGCTCTACTACTGAGTGAGGCTGTCAAGAGGCCAGTGACCACAGCTTCAGTGATGTTCTGAGGCCACTTGCTGATCCAGTCAGATCCCAATGGCACTGAGATGGTCCTGGACACAGGAGGAAGGGAACATCACTGGAGATCTTAAGTAAGTTCCACAGCTCTTCATATGCTCTGTGTCATACCCAGGGCAGTGTGAGCACATGGTCAGGTCCCAGAAAGGTCACCGAAAACAGACTAACTGGTGGCCCAAATACCGAGACCAGCGCGCAAACATGCTCAAGGCAATGGTTCAGGTGGTGGAAGCAAAGGTGATCCTGGCCTGCCGGAAGGAAGCAGAGGGGAATTCCAGGACTGCAGGACAGTAACACAGCATCCAAACACTCGGAACTGAAGGGACACTTGTGGAATGGAAAGCAGAGCAGGAGACAATGTCCACTGGCACGCAAGAGAGTACTAAACTGGGGACATAGGGACCCAGTGAATGTGTCTACCAAACTGACTGATCAACTGACTGTTACCGGCACTCCTCCCCACGCCCCATGTACATTGCAGAGATACTAGCAGTTGTATACCCCTGAATATTTTGGTTACAGGTTTGCAAGGTTTGTGCCAACAGGCACTTATCAGATATTTACTCCTGCAGTTAAGTGGGCAGGCTCCAGGTGGTCGACCAGGGAGCCCACAGGCATGGTACAGAATACAACGTGGCATTTTGTAATCAATGACTAGTTATAGGTGGAAACATTCTGCCATTTTCTGGCCTCACATTTTCTCCAGTTGCAATGCCACCTTTGGTCCATCTTTTGACATGTGATGTGGGTGGTTCTAAGTTTGTGAATGTACCAAGTCCTCATTTTGATCTGATTCTTAAGTGATGGTTTAGCTGGTACAGAGTTTCTTGTTGACAGCTACCGTCTATCAGAACCTTTAAGACATTAGTCCCTGGCTGCTGCTCCCTGCACGTAATTGACATTTTGTGCAGGGGGTCTGCCTTCCCTTGCTGTGTCCTGTTCTGCAATTTCATTACAGTGTTTCTGAGTACAAATTCATTTGACGCTGCTTAGCACTTGATGTGACCCTTCTGAATCCATGCCCTCAGTTCTGGCCCCTTCTCAGCCTTCCTTCATGGCTTCCTTCATGGTCTATCCACCCTGACCTTGATTCTCAAGTTGGTGGATGCCTCTCTGTTCTCCACGTCTCAGAGCCACCTTGCTCAAGCTTGTCAGTCTGCGCTCTGGGTGGACTGTTCACTAAACATCCCTTCTGGTGTCCAGTCAGACTTTGTTTCATCTACTGAGGTTCTGGGGTTTTGTTTTGTTTTTATAGTGACCTCATTTTGCAGTTCTGATTTTCTTTTTTGTTTTTATTTTGTCTCCTCCAGTTTTATTTTATAATCTCTTTTTAATTTTTGTTGATGTTTTCTTTCTTTATCCATCATGAGATTCCTGAACAGACTCACCCCTAACTCTGATGCCTTATGCTGATTTCATCTGCTGGCCACTGGCCCTGTTACCTACCTCTCAGCACTGCGACTGGAATGCAGGCCTGCAGGGCAGGCAGGGTTTGGCATTGTCTCCCTCCTGGGTGCTCCTGGCTGTGTGCCGGGTCCTGCAGGTGCCCTGCAGGGTCAGGTGGATGCTCAGCCTGGCTGCAGGGAATCATGCCCCACCCATGGCCCTGGGCTAGGCTGAGGTCCTTCTCTGCTTGATCCTCGGGCAACTGCGCAGAGGTGGCTTTTTCTTGGCTTCCTTTCCAGCCTAGTTTTGAGCAGAGTTCCTGGCTGTTGTTGCCAGCTCCTCCGGGAGCACTTGATCTCATTCCTCCTGAGGAACAGCGTCCCTGGCACCTCTGCCTGTATTTGGGCCTCCCTCTGTTTTATGATTCTAGTTTACTTTTGGTATAAGTGTTGCTGTTTTGGGGGGTTTTTGTTCGTTTGTTTGTTTTTAACAATTATCTATTGTCTGTATGGGTGAGGGACCATGGGAAGGCCCCTGAGCATGGCTTCTTATGCTGCCCCCCCCAGAAGAAGGGTCTCACTCACCTGTGCTGTTCTCACTTCACATCTCTTAGGAAATTACTGTCGTCATGCTTGGTATTTTCCCAACAATTAATACTCTTCTACATCAAAAAAAGAGCAACTAATTAAAAAACAACTTGCAATCTACTTTATAGAAAATTGAACATAAGGACAATAAGCAAAGATTCAGTGTGTCCTGAAAATATTCTTTGGAAGATGGTCAAAGCCCCCCAAACAGCTCTGCTGTGCTCACAGTGACCAACATGGCACAGAAGGACAGCTGGGACACCTTGTCTCCTCCTTCAGAAAGAGCCAGGACCCCAGTGAAAAGGTGTCTGTCCTTCCATCCTCTCAGACTGGGCCAGACTCCAGTGGTTTCAGGAAACAGGAAGTGGGCGGAGTACGAAGGCCAAAGGAGCTGCGGCTTTGGTGTCTTGGGTGAAGCTTCCCAGGAGTGTGCTAACACTGTGCAAATCTTTCCGATGAGCCCAAGAGTGAACTCATTTGCCAAGGGCGACTCTTCATTCACCCGGATCTTGGTTTTCTGCCTGGAGACTGGAGCCAGACCGTGTAGCTCCGCTCTCACCCCGCCCTGTGCCATGTCCATGTGCCATGTCCATGTGCCTTCATTTCCTTTGCCCTCTCTTTCCTTCCCAGCATCTTTAGCTTAATCACATGAGCAGAGTGCCTTCTGCCACGTGTGACCTGACAGTCACAGTGTGAGGGGTCAGAACATGGAGCCTGAGGAGCAGTTATTTTGTGCACTCCAGCTGGTGTCCCCTTGCCCCTCGGAAAGGAGCTCCTTTTGTCCCAGGAGTTGCCCTGGTCAGTGGCAGTGGAGGCAAGGGCCTGAGATGGTAGTGTGGGCCTACCAGTGGGGACAGCAGGAAGAAGTCTGTGCCAACCCTGAGGCCCTGCCCCACCTGCACCACAGGAAACCAAGCAACCCAGCACAAGTGCCCCAACAGGACCACCCTCCCTGGCCGGTTTCCAGACCTGTGTCAGGTCTGCCCTTAGACACATTTAAGCTAGGAGGAGCTGACAGGTGGAAAATGACCTGTGGAGTCTATGGTAAGGGTAAGAAAAGTTCCAGAAGGATAATGAAACAGTTTATCTTTCCATCACTGGGACACAGACTTGAAAAGCAGGAAAGATGGATTTGGCTCCCAGAGTCAGGCTCCAGCCCACGGTCCTGCATTGAGACAGCACATCATAGCAGGGCCACGTGGCCAAGGAAGCAAAAGGAGAGAGGAAGTTGCGGGGATCCCAAAATCCCT